TGTGTGTAAGTACATGTAGAAATTGTATGTAGTTCATATACAAAATAAAGAAATTGTCTATCTGAAGCTGGATAGCTAAAAAATGATATACTCAGCTTCTGTTTTAGGTATTTTGCCTTTAGCGATAAAATTATATTTGTATATTTACTGATATGTCAATAGAATCAACTGTCCAAGCGAATTGCGCTGTCTATATAAGCGCCTATATTCAGGTGATATAACGTATAACATTTCATGTTTATACTGTAATATACAGCATAGCTCTAATTCTGTTAAATTATCGACAGTGTGCGTCAGGTTTTGTCTTCATTTAAGATAAAACTGAACGTGATTAAATGTTATTTCTGCCTTTAGTCAACATTTAAACTGCGCATTAAAGGTAATTAAAGTATGTGCGGTTTAATGTTGGTTTTAACTCGCTTTAATATCCTCACTAAATGCAATTAAGTGTATCAGTTTCCAAAAGAGGTTTTTTGTTCAGAGTAAATGCGATTAAATGTAACTTTTTATTTAACCACCTTTAGTCAGCTTGTTAAAGGTGTAAACACACATTTAACATCTTTAGTATCTTTGCTAAAGCTGATTAATGACACACTTTATTAGCGACAAGAAAAAATAAAAATCGGACTCCAACCCCAAGAATATGCCGGCGTTTGCAGGAAAAAATAGAGCGCATAAAAAGACTGGTGCGAGTAACTAGCTTCAAAATTATCGTAGTTTATTCGGAGTTTTTAATTTTGTCTTGGTATTTCAAAATACACTCGCGTACTAGTGATTATAACTGATAAGCTGTAAACTAAAGAAAAATATTTTGAATAACAAGAGCGATGAAACAAAAACGTGTCAGGAGTGGGATTCGAACCCACGCCCACATTCGTGGACTAGATTGCCCATACTCCAGTATAACTGGAAAGGTGTCTACCTTGAGTCTAGCGCCTTGGACCGCTCGGCGGCCATTCTGACTACATGTACAACATGTATTGGTAGACAAAAGAGATAGGTATCAATTTTCACACATCGCCCCCACCCCCCAAATCTTTGTTCGGATCTCAGCTTTTCATTGGGCGACAGAGCCCCTTTCCTCTTAGTTACGCCACTGCCGTGTTGATATGACTGCATCTATCTAGCCTCGGTGAGACGAAACCATATGTCGATATGGTATTAGTTTAAATTAAACAAACTGCATCTTCTATTACGACATTAATAAGATTTTTAGGTCTATTCAGTGATGTCTATATGTTTATCTCTAGCCTCAGTTTTATGGGGGCCTGATTTGCAACGGGCAGGATTTTGGCCTGCCCGTTGCAAATCAAGCCCCCGCCCCCCGTAAAAATGAGGGCCTGCCACGCAGGCTTGTTTATCCGGAGCAAGTACTTCAGTCATTCGGTCTATGAGAAAAGTGAAGCGAAGATGACGGAAATTGACTACCAATAGCTTTGAAGGTCTTCAAGTTTTTTTCTAACCATAGTCTTTCGAGATATGGTCTGGAAACTCAGCAAACTTTAAAAGGGGTTAGAATGACCTGGAATGTTATGTTGAGCCGTACCTTACACCGTGCACATCCTTTGTTTCAGGTTTATTAGCATGGATGAATGACTGAACAGAAACGTTGCTATTGGATGTTTGGT